TTGTGAATCAGTAACATCATTAGCAACTTCAGCAACAGGTAGAAAGTTTCAAAACAATATCTAAGATTTTTTTAAATTATTTTTTCCATTTTTTTGAAGCACGACTTACTCGAAGTCAAACATTATTAACAACAAAATCAAATAAACAAGCGATTATTAATTCACTTAAGCAAGTTGCACTTGCTGGTCCAGCTAATGAACGACAACGTGAAATAATGATTCGAGTAATTATTGTTGTTTTTCAAATGTTTAAATCATTTTTTAAATAATATTACATCTAGGAAATTGAATCAAGTGATGCGCGACATTTTGTTCTTTTGTTTCGTGATCATCGTCTACAATTTCGTGCTGTGTATATGTATATTGCAGAAACTGATATGATTGAAAAATTACATGGTATTGGTCCAAATATAATAACAGAAATTATGGTAGATAAATGGTATAAATATAATTCTGGAAGTAAACGTTTTACTAATATACCGATAAAACATTTCTCAATTCAATGTGATGCTGTGGTTATTTACAATGATTTCTGGCAAAAAAAACTACATATGAATAAATTACATTAACCCATCAAAAGAAGACATTTTTTTTGCTCTGATCTTCTATTGATGTTTCTCTTTTTTTTCATGTGAATAGGTTTTTTTTTCTTTCGAAATATATGCATCAGTTTTGACAAAATAATTCTACTATTTTTACAAACTGAGGGTGTGAGTGTAGTTTGAAATGGATACTACTGATGTCACTATCTTCCTTTGTTATCAATTGTTTTAATAATAGTACAAGGAAGAAATGTTATGCAAAGTAATTTAAAAATCTATCAACGAAAAATCATGTTTACAATTCTATACGAAATATTTTTTGTTTCATTCAATTCATTTTCCTATCAGTATAATGAAAAATATTTAATATCGATTGAAAGAGTAGACCTTATAATAAGAATGTTATCAATGGATATGAAGTCAATTCTAGAGAGTGGTATTTATTGATTCTTTTAGTTATATGTATAATTTGATTTGATACTAGTGGAGTTCTTTGATATAACAATACTATCTCAAGCACAAAAAACGATTTTAATGATATTAATGAACGTGTCATATATGTGTACTTCAATCAGAATCACGATCAGCATTAGAACATTGACTTTTTGAATTAATCGCTATTTTTATTGAAATTGTACTTGAGTTTCTTATCTAAATTAATGTTTGGTTAGCAGGCTTATGGATTGATATTTAGATTTTTACAAACAGAATGAAATGGAATATTCACACTCGCATCCACACGTTGTTTCGAGTTAGTCAAGTAATAAGAAATGCATCTTTGATACAAACATGAGATCAGTTGAATGAGTGAAAGAGAAATAATTGAAAAAACAAGATGTGTCATGTATTTTAGGTAGGGGAATATGATTGTTTATGTTCTAGTAACAAAGGCAATAATTAAAAGATTCAGTTTTTTTATTTATTTTTATTTAAAAGCAAGATTAAAATATAAAGATTCCAGAACTGAGAATGTTAGTAGAATGATTGCAGTGTAGATATATCATAGTAATAAAAGCAGCACCAAAGATTTAGCAAAATGAAGCAGAATGTTTGAAGATGTCATTTTTCAATGTTGAATTAATATTTGGCTCGAAAAATGTATATCACTTGCACGCTTATATGTAGTTGTAATATTCGATTTTGTAGAACCAGAACCTAAACGACAGGTAAAATAAGAAAAAAAACGAATAAGTAGAGATAATAATGAGTAAATAAACTGTTTTTTCTCAAAATCTACTGTAACAATACTGCATGATAAACTTTTTCAACAATCGATAGAAAATGTTTTTTCTATTTGACAACTATTTTATTATATCAAGAAGCTAATGTGTGAGCGTGTCGTTCTGACTAGTGGTCGAACTAATCGAGGTGGCCAACTCTAAGATGCGGAAGATGGATGAGTGATGATAGTGATAATTTATTGAAAATAAGTCAGCATTATAAATAGTACAGTGTAACAAAAGTGGAGCTGGACAATGACCATCCAGCTTCACAAAGAAAAATATGATGAAACTACAGAGATGATGAAATGAAAGATAATGAAATGACGAAGAAGCAATAGTGTCTAACATATGTGAAAGGAACAGAAACATGTACACATATGTGAGGAGAACAGAAAAAAAAATTATGTGCGCAAGAAGAGAAAGAGAAAATGTATGTGCCTAACGAGAGGATGGCGTACATCATCCTCTAACACTATGTTAGTATTAATGATCATCGCAGTACTTTTAACTTATATTTAGACATTTATTTTAGTAATGAGAAATAAAAAGATTCTGATAAGTCACTCAGTATTGAACATACAAATCTCTCCAGACTAAATCGATTACTATGAATTAGAAAAGCTGTTAATAAAATATGTACATATAATTGTTTTTCTTTTAGTTAATAATATACAAAGACCTGCTTCAAAATAAAGTCACAACGAAATCAACTTGCGTTTTATTTGGTTTAATCTAACTTTACTCATATGGTATAACACGTTAATATTTTTTTCACGTTTGTCTTCATTTATGTATTATTAATAAAAAGATATTTCTTTTCATTTACAATAATAAGATCTATTAAAGAATCGAAATTTATAAAGATTTTTGAATAAAACTAGATTCTCTTAGTTAATCGAGTTTAATATACTAAACTAAAATATATATGTATTAGCACCACATAGAAAATAATTGGAAGGGGCTATGTGCACTCGAGTGTACATAGGCGAGTGGCTATGTGCACTCAAGTGTACATAGGCGA